GAGAAATCACTTCTCCTGTGGTGCTTGATGTACTGGAGAAAGGAAGTGCTTACCAAGAGCTGAGTAGCAGATTCGTGGAGTCGTGCAACACTTGAGGGGACCTCAATAGCAACAGGAGGTGGTGCACACTTCCCCCAGAGGACAGCGTCTGCTACAGCTCGTGTTATGCGGTTAGGACTTAATCCTGCGTCTCCACATTTGTTTGCCTTTCTCTTGACTGCACATGGCACCATGTAGGTACGATCAGTTTCTGTGTGCAAAATGATACGTTTTATCTTGTTAGAGTAGGTTTGTGTATGTTTTCGGGGAGGAAATGCTCTAATAGCCTAGTATCTGCGTATATTTCATGCACTCTGGCCTCCCTTTTGCTTACTAGTTTTGATACTTCGTAGCTGCTCAGCTCATCTGCTAGTCTTTCCAAATATCACACATCTCCAGAAAAGTTTCCAATGTATTTATTGGAACAAAAATCCCCACATAGAAATGGGCCTGCACAGTCCTACATCAAGGATCAGATAGGCTTTTGTGGGTTCACCTTGTCAAGTCAGATTGCAAGGAACGTGGTCAGTTTTGTGGTAACATTCCCGTTGATTTGGAAAGGGCTACTTTATGAAAGAAATTGAAGTATGTCACCAGTTTGTACTTGGAGTTTCTAGAATTGCTGAAATCAACAACTCTCTTTATTTGGAATGTCAGTTGTTAAGTGAACGTTTATCCCCTCGTTTGTCCTACAGAGACAAAAGCTCTGGGGCGCCTGGGTGTCTCAGGGCATTAAGCGTCTGACTCTTGGTTTCAGCTCAGGTCATGATGTCATGGTTCAGGGATGGAGCCCTGCACCGGGCTCTGCGCTCGACTGACTGGAGAGTGTGCGTCCACCTCCTTGGAGCCCACCTGTACGCCATGTCCTGGGCGGGCGCTCAGTATTGGCGGGAGAGAAGCCCCACGCGGGGTGGTGGGCCCTGGCATCACTCTCCTCAGAATCCCTTCCTCCATAATATTTCCTGCTTGACTAAGGAAAGAAGTCGTAAACTCGCCCTTTCGTCAAGAGTCCTACCATCGTTTTTGAAAAGTCCATTGGGTATGGTTGAGTCTGATTGAGCCAGGGGTTCAGGCTAAGACAGCAGCTTTTGAGTACCGTCAGCCTTTCCCCACTGCCGCTCCACAAGCCTGCTTGCCAGACGAGGCCAGAGGCTGGGGATGGGCAGGAGGCTTCTCGGCCTGTTGCTCCCGAGTCAGCAGAGTTCCTGAGTCCTAGACCTGCCAGGCACCTGAAAATGTCTGTCCCCTTGAGTGTCGGTCCCTCCGAAAATCCCCGGGACTCCTGTGGGTGGTGAGGAGGGGACTGGTGTGTGTGAGGCTACTTGAGGGCGGTGGGTGCTGGGACTCTGGAGGGCCACGGAGGCCTGGTGTGCTCTGGTAAAGACCCCCCTGTGTCTCTCCACTTTTGTCCCCTCTCCGACCCCAGGAGTGTGCAGCTCTCGCTGCAGAGCTCCACACCTGCAGGGAGCAGCTCGTGCAGAGAGAGGAGGAGATCGCCAACCTGAAGGCGGAGAGAAACAACACCAGGGTCAGTAGGCGCACCGCCAGTGTCTTTAAACACAGGACACCATTCACTCCCCTTGTCCACATGTCCCCGTGGAGTTGGCTGGGACCCATTGTTCTCAAACCTTGTTTGATCCGTGAGGAGGAGTGAGGCTATTTTAACACATTCGAGGGGACGGCTCCCTACCTGGGAACTGAATTGAAGGGATTCAGACTTGGTTTTGCATTTGGTGAACTTGAGGCCCGGAATTGAAGGTGTTCTTGAAACACGGTGTTCCTTTTGCCTCTCCCGCCAGCTGCTGGTGGAACATTTGGAGTTCCTTGTCTCCGGGCACGAGAGAGCTCTTCAAAAAACAGTCATACGGCGACAGGCAAAGACTCCGGCCGGCGTGTCCAGTGAGGCGGAGGTGCTCAAGGTCCTCAACTGCATATTGGAGAAGGACAAAACCGAGGCTGAAACGGTGTGCCTAGCCACGGCGGTTCTCAATTTGTCCACATGCTGTGTGTTCTAGGCACACTGTGTGTGTTTGTGTGACTGGAGTTTCCTTTTCATCTTCTTGAATTCTT